GTGTGTGTGTGTGTGTGTTCATTCAGAACGAGGCAGTGACAGCTTTTAAAAAGGCTCGGCAGCAGTACTTCCAACGCTGCGATGAGCTAGAAAAGGCAAAAGCTGTCTCTGCTAAAGCTTTGGACGACACAGCTGGAATCAAAACACTGGACAAGAGGAAGAAGTCTAAAGATGAAGCGCAGACTAAGGTGAGTTTCCCCTTCATGCACCACATCAGTGCAAAGAAATGCAGAAGTAAAGGACAGCTTATACTGTTGTGTATTACAGGTTCTCTCATAGTGTATGATGATTCACAATACAATTCAAGAGTATTGATACGTATATGGGGCTGTACAGCATGTCACAGGTCTCCCCTCTGTGTCCTCCAGGTGCTGGAGGCAGAGCTTCTGTACAGACAGTGTGTGAGCGACGCCAAGATCCACCAGGAGGAGTTAGTGAAGGTCAAAGAGAGAATTATTTCCCACATCCGCAAGCTCATCTGTCAGGGAGACACAGTGCTCAAGGAGGTTGGTATGAAATCAAGGAAACTAAACATTTGACCCTCTGCCAGCTCGATATATATGTGGAATATAAAGTAGGGTGTATGGTAGGAATGTCATGACCGTGTGACAATTTCAACACATCTGCCATCTACATAAAAAACTAAAATCACTTCTTTGTCTCCACATCACAACTCTGCATCAGGCCTTCGTCAACATGTTTTATTACCAGCGGCAGCAGACAGAGGCCGTTCCCCTCGGCTACCACAACCTTGAGCTGACCTGCAGGTCCCTGGAGCCCGGCGAGCCGTACCTGCTCTACGTCTTCAGCAAGCCTCGTCTCGAGCAACCTCTCCAAGTCTTCTGCTTCCAGGAATATGTTCCTCCGTGCAAAGGGTACGATGATCACCTGTTCACCAATTCTTGTTCACTTAGATGTTTAAAGGTCGGTCAGTTCAAATAGGATAATGTACTTCTAATGAAACTTGATTCATTAAAAATATGGATATGTTTTTTTTTACTTGAAAGGAACAGACGAAAAACCAGCTCCACTCTCAGCTCTCAGCAGGACTCCTCACCTATGACAGATGACAGTCCTTACAGAAGACCCAGTGATGGCAGTAAGGACTCCTCATTATTGTACATATGTGACAATATTAACGGAAATATTCCTCATTTAGCTTTAATGTGCATTTTCTTGTGTGTTGTGATGTATTTCAGGGAAACCAGGGTACAGTGACAGTGAGAGTTTTGGGGGCAGTTTAGAATCTCTCTCCAGCCCTGGTGAGCCCTCCTCGGTTTCCACAACTTTTCATTCAGAAGCATATTGAAACCTGTGCAATGGATAACCTTTTTGATTTTCATGCTCTTTTGTCTTGGCTTTGTATGGGAATGCACAGCTCACAGTAACAGGAGGTTACCTAAAGTGGCATCCACTTTGACTCTGTCATTAGACGACCCGGACGACCGGGATGTGGCATCAGAATCAGGTTTGTTACTGGCTTTTCTCTAATGTACGGAATACTTCTTTACTTACAGCACCACACAATGGGAATCAAACTGCACTCTTCACTCCTCTCTCTCTCCCCCTCCCCAGAGTGCATTGATGGGCAGCCATTCAAAGTGCGCATGCCCTCCCGAGCTGCACTGACACACCGACTCAGGAAAATGAAGAGCAAGATGGTGAAATGCAAACAGTGTGACACCTACATCGTTGTCAATGGGGTCGATTGTGAGGAGGTAAGAGGCCAAATGGTGGAGATGATGTACCGAACATTTGTGAGGAGCAATGTGATCTAGTGTCATCTCTTCTGTTCTGTGACTGCACCCTCAGTGCGGACTGGCTTTGCATAGGAAGTGCATGGAGGTGTGTCAGCTAGAGTGCGAGCAAAGGAGAGGGACCATCTTCGGAGTGGACCTCTCTCTGCTGCCGCGCGACAGGCCGGACGAGGTGCCCTTCGTGGTGCTGCGCTGCACGTCTGAGATCGAGAGTCGCGCTCTTTCCATCCAGGTACTGATCACCAGATACCATGGCGACCAAAGTGTAAAGGCTGTCGAGTGTAAGCTGTGGTTTGATAACCGTTTTCTCTTTTTCTCTTTGAGGGGGTGTATCGAGTGAGTGGGTCTAAGCCTCGAGTCCTGAAGCTCTGTCAGGCCTTTGAGGTGCATAAGGAGCAGGTGGACCTCTCTGACCTCTCACCTCATGACATCACATCCATCCTTAAGCACTTCTTGAAGGAGGTACACAAATGACCACCACGTGAGCTTTATAGAATTCAACAGGCGGATTGTTGATGTGGATTTAAGATCTGAAAAGATTCTCGATATTATCTCTTCCAGCTCCCAGAGCCCTTAATAACCTTTGACCTGTACAACGACTTCATTGCTTCGGGGAGGATCATTCAGAACCTGAGTGAACGGGAGCAGGCACCAGACACTAATGAGATAATGGACATCATTCACAACCTGCAGAAGCTTCTACAGAAACTTCCTCAGTACTGCTACAGCACCTTGCAACATTTGATGTCTCACCTACAAAAGTGAGCACGTAGTAACAAAACTGACTATAAGAGATAAGGCACGAACTACCCTTGAGATTTCCTTGAACATGTCCGCTCCCTGTCTTCACAGAGTCTCAGAGTGCTACGAGAACAAGATGTCCCCCAGCAATTTGGGTATTGTGTTTGGGCCAACGCTATTGCGCCCTCTTGTGTCTACGGACATGTCAATGGTTGCTCTGCTGGAGACCAGCTACCAGGCTGCACTTGTGGAGTTCCTCATCAAACACCATGACACAGTGTTTGGCCTTCAGCCGAGACCCGTTACGCCGCCTCCACCAGTCCCCACTGCACCTCTCCCAGAAACCCCACCCAGAGCTTCCTGCCACCTGGATGGGGACATTTACACCGACCATAGACATGAAAACTCCACCAGAGAGCGTCCACGCTCACTAGAAGTAAGTACTGCAGTCAGTAATCATTCAGGACATTGCAGTAACCTTTATTTGACTGCAAAATTGAGGAGCAGTTGCCTCGCATGCACATGACAATAGATAGAGTTTGGACTTGAGCTACTTCTCCTGATTCATTTACCTGTTGTTTAAAGAGCATTAGCACCTGGAGCTCTGGTGCACCTCCTCACGTTTATTCCGTCAGCATTAACACGCTGGACCTCTGCTGCATTTTCCACTGCTCTGCCTTCCTGAACTTTGACCTGCATGACCTTTTTTCAAGCTTTACTATATGGGCATTTCATTTCCATTGCTTACTGACCCCTCAGAGGTTTTAAAGAGGGTTGATGATAGGAACTACATAATCTGACTATTTGAAATGTTCCAAATAAGGTTTACTTTTGATATAAAATGGCCTGATTCGTCTTAAAATAGCTGTTCGTATAATTTTCCCATAATAATCACTATTACTAGTAGAGGGTTCAGATGTGGTCTGTAAACATAGAAACTCCACCACTCAATTTGTGTCATTCCAACAGAGTCGAACAATCAAGAGAGAGTCAAGCGAGGGTTATATATCTGACAAGTCTTCGTCCAATGAGGCAGTGGACCAGCTCAGCCCTGAAGCCAATGAGAGAGCAGGTAGGCGGGATGTAGATCAGTTACTCTAGATAGAATTGAAAACATAGTTCTGATGTCGTGGGTAAATAATTAGGTTAGGTTTTATCATTTGTACAATGGCTTGTACCTGTGTTGTTTGAGGAGAAGTTTAAACCTTGACGATATTCCTTGTACTTCTTCTGTAGAAGCAAAGAGCATCAGAGGTCTGTTGCAGTTCCTTTTTTGTTTCCTCAATCTTTTTTTAGAAATGAGACTTCCTTCCATTCTTTTTGACTGAAGTCATCTAGTTTCATTCATCTGTAAAACTATGTAAATTATATGTGAGTCAGATTGTTTAGCTGCTTCGTGGGATTTTGTAGATGCAATTGATTTAGATTTATTTTAACTATGCTGAAGATGTAATACTCTCACATTCATTGTCAGAAACTGTGCTGATTCTGTGCTGACTCATGGTTACATTTTGACGACAAACAAGATAAAGGACATTTCTTTTTTTTCACTGCCCTCTGAGGTTTCATCTCTTCTTCACTGGCTTTACTCTTGCAGTATTTCAAACATTCTCTTCTTTGTGGCAACAACAGTATGCAGCTTCAAATATATCTATCAATATATCTATAAATTATACTCAACCTTCAAGAAGAACTCCATTTAATAATGAAAGTTGTTATGAAATTTAGATTATGTGTTTGCTAAGACTATACAAAATCAGTAACATCTGATTTTCTGCTTTTCTTATGAATCACTCGCTTGTTCTCCCTCATCTGTCTCAGTCCTGGCTATGAGGGGGGGGTCGACTGATCATCAGGGTGAGCCAGTGGGAGAACCAGACTCTGATTTGGGGACACAACCACGATATCGCTTCACGAGACAGCCTGTGAAGTATTACCGGCACAACAACCCAGGAACCAGGCTCTCCAACCCAGGTAGTGCAGCCAGACAGTCTCCAACACCAGTGAGGGCAAATCCAGGGAGCGCCGACAGCAGCCGCAGCTCCTCCCCAGAGCCTGCGGACCAGAGACCTCCCCAAAGGTTAGACGTCCACTTTGAGAACGCTCACCTGCCCCTCCAATCCGACATTGCTGCAGAGAGTAAAATGGATGTTCCGCTGAGCCCCCGTGAGGTTGTGCAATACATGTTGGGACTGGATTCAACATTTTCATCACCTGTTACTGTGACATCATCCGGTACGACACAGGGGGCCTGTCAGGAGGTGGCAGCGGCCGGGTGTCAAGCTGCTCTGAACCCAGATCTGTCCAAAAACAGACAGAGCTCTGGACAGAGTCAGGCTCTCTGTCACTCACCGAAGACTTTTCCTACGGAACACAACCTGTCTGCACCAGCCCAGAAGATCCTGTCCGGTCTGAAGCTGAGACGTAGCTACTCAGGGAAAGATGAGCAGCTCTTTGTCTGAGGACAGATTCTAGATATCAACATTATTGTTTGTAATCAGCATTTAATGCATTTATTAAGAATAAACTCCTCCTGCATTTTACACACTGACAGCTCCCTTTTAACAAAAAGTATAGCTGTTTTCAGGAAATTACCTCAGTGATGGTTCCATTACCAGGAAGGTACCAGGATGCCACAGCCTTATTCCCACTAATCCTCTTTACGATTTTGATCTGTTGACCATCCAGCTGTCTGATATCCACAGGGACCAGAGAGATTCTTGTATATATCAGTTTACTTCTGCATTTGAATGTAACAAACATGATGCAGGTTAAAATATGTAAATCAGCACATATGTTCCAGTTCCTGTTGGTTTTGTCCCAAATGATCTTCAAAACACAGATAACATCATGGTGTGTTTTTAAAGTAAAGTGGATCTTTTTAATGTTTTATTGGCTCCACACTGAAAATAATAGAATCCAAGATAACCCTCTCTGTCAGAAGTGTCTATGTATTACTTGGGCTTCACGCACCTTTTCTGTTTCAACACAAGAGGGCGGTATGTGAGTGTGGAGGGGAAACCTGCCAGCACAATAGTAGAAAAGCAATAAACCATTTAATTTCTGATTGCAAGCACAGTGTTTTCGGATTGTGACGTCAACCTTGTCCTCCCTGGATGAAACTCGTCCCTGGACATGATGGTACAAAGTGAGTGAACATTTTCTGATTCAATCATGGTTGAATATAAATCTCATCTTCATTTGCTTTTGTTCTTTTGATAATAGTTCTACAAATTCAGGCAGTTCGTGCCATGACGGATCATTATCCAACAAGAAGCGGATTCATCTCCCTTTTAAAAAAATTGCCCCTTTAAGGTATCTCTCTCTCGCTCTCTAACCTTGAACACAAATGTGAAATCATCCCCATCTGAGCCATCAATAGGCTGCATCATCGCTCATCTTCCCTCATCATCTTCCGCACCTTCTCCCTCCCTCCCTCCCTCTCTCCTTCCGTGTCTGTCCATCTCCTCCCTCTGCGCCTTTTTACGCACAAAACAAGTCGGAGCGCGCACACACGGGCTGGCTGGAGACAAGCGGAGAGAGACAATAGACAATAGTTTGGGTCATCATGGTGTTTGGATTTTTATCGTAGGCAACAAGCATGCGCGCCGGACTGTGAGGTACAGGTGAATTCGTCTGGAAACGCGTGTGTTCGTTCACCGGCCGAAACTTTTCCCCTTGCGCGTTTTAATGTTGCCAACCGAGATTTCAGGAGGAGTGTGTTTCACCTCAAGGTAGGACACAGGTTGTCAGCGGGTCCGGGACTTCAGATCTCCATGTGATTGTTTTTGCGCATTGAAAACGTGCTTCTTTTCCCACAGCAGCTTTTACGCAAAGGTTTATTGTTATTTTGCGTAAAAAAATGGTCAGGTTAAAAAGAAAATGAGAGATGAAGTCACAGGGACGCTGTCTGGTGAATTATATGTGCTTTCTTTCAATCGGCCTAGCAACACCAATCAGTAGCAAAAGATAATGTAGAATAAAGACAGTTTGATTGTTCTTTTTTATTATACTGTAATTTCAAATATTCAGTTTCAAACACTTTCTATAGATGGAGACTGTATGACGCTGGTGGTGTTGCAGATTCATTTACAGTTTGACCAAACAGGTATGATGTGTTACAACTCAACATCATCCAGTTTTTAATTATAATAATTGTGCTTTTTGATTTTGATGACACGAAGACATTCTTAGCATAAAATAGCGTTTAAATGAAACCATCATACAACACATTTCCTCTGCTCGTCATAATATTGATTCCTGAGAGCAAAAATAATGGTTATAAAAAAGTTTCTCACTGTTTATTTCATTGCATTTTGAATGTATTGATCCTATTGATCCTCATATATAAAAGATTAACTTCAGGGTGATTGTATAGCTCTAGGTCCTGAAGGAGTTAGTTTATATATATTCATTATTATTATTATTGAGTATCGGGCTGTCAGTCTCAACATCTAATTATGGATGTATCTCACTATTGTTTCTGTAATGTATTCAACCCGCAATTAGGGAAAATGCCATATCAGATTAGTTGTATTTACATAATTCATTTGTTTTATTTGATTCCTTAATTTTCTATGGCAATGTAGAGACCATCCAAAAATCAACAGCCCGTTTTATATTTACTTGAAATATACAAACTACAGGCCTCTAAAGTGTGGGTGAAAAATCTGATGGATATCCCAAAAATACCAGAACAAGAAATTATATCATTAATAAAAGTGTAAGCTATTTTTGGAATATATTGTTATATTACCGTAGTTTCTAAACACCACACAGTGTTATGAAGACACAACAATAAATATAGAAATATTAACTTAAGAGAATAATTTTTATCAATATTTTTTCTGTTAAATAATCCTTGGATTTGTTGTTTTTTTGTTTGAATGAATTTTGTTGGATATTAAAATGCCGTGAGTGACTTTTAATGCTCAAGTCACGTTGTGCAAAATCTGTGCTCTGATACAAAAACGAATTCCCTTTAATTGAATTACTGAATTGAATTTTTTCAGGAGAAGCTTTAAAAATATATAGTTTTAATTTCATAATAATTATATTGTATAAACTTTAGCCTACACAAAAATATTAAGAATTCCATATAGGCTACGGTTATTTTTTGAAACGGCCAAGACAGATACATTGTTTATGTAAGAAAATAGGCCGGAGTAGTTTTTTAAATATTTTTGTGTATTAGTAACAAATTTCCATTTCTATTTTACTAAAAGTGTCGAGTGATATTTAAAGGCTGACATAAACTTTTAAAATTCCAGTTGACTATAGTTAGGGCCCAAGCATACGCCTCCATAACGTGCTAATACTCATGTAATTTAAATGTTATTCATTGCAATTACAATTTTATGAAATTATCAGAGATGTGTGGCTCGTATTTTGAATTCTTAAAATTTCATTAGGTCGTTTGTTATTTTTGCCTTTAACAACAAACCAAGGTCTGTGTGTGTGTGTGTGTGTGTGTGTGTGTGTGTCAGTCATTCTATATATGGATCTAAATGATGGGAACTTGAAATGTTGCTCAACACCATATATGGGGTATTTATAGGCTTATTATATTATCAAGGCTAAATGTGTGAGCACCGCCCATTTTTATGTTATTTTACATTTTATATAATAAGTTTCTTGATTTTTCCATGTCGTAGCCCACTGTGGTGGACCAGCTGACGTCCTGCATGTTTCTGTGTCTCCCTGCAGCGATCACACTGAGGGAAGGAGAGAAGGGATGAAAACAGAGGAGAGCCAGCAGTCCTGTCTGCAGCAGCCTCCATCCTCAACGCCTTTCGGTGAGTGACCATGTGTTGCAGACGAAATCAAACTCCCATGAAAAACATCCAAACATCATCCCCTATATATGACGCTGAAGAAATCCCTGCAGGAGTATTATGTGCGTACTTGGAGTCAAACATTGTGACAAAGGGATCTTGAAGAATGACAAAACAAAACGCGAACAGTTATGGAAATATTTGAGAGAAAAAAGTAAAAAAACAAATAAGTGTAATTTGAAGTTGCTTTTGCTGTGTGTAATACAAAAGAATTAAAAACAATAAAAATGTCTTTCTAGAACATATAATGGAAATACTGCAGATTGTAAAAAATAAAAATAAAATAAACCTAAACTTGCATTTAAATTAAATAATAAGAAATAATGTATTTGCCCATTACGCTCTGCACAAGTGGGGGACTCTGCGTAATAAGGTTATTACAGATGCTTCACTTTTCCTCAGCTTGTGGAGAAATGTGTCACAATCTAAACTTAGGGTTTTAATGTGTCGTGTTTTGGAGACTTGGACTCAAGTCAGCGGTATTTTTTTTTTATATTCTGGGTTTTTGTTCGTGTCCTGCATATTCAGGTCCGGAGTACAGGCGCGGGGGAGAGGTGTGCGCGGGCTGCGAGTCTCCCATCGCCGACCGATTCCTGCTGCGCGTGAACGAGCGCTCCTGGCACGAGACCTGTGTCAAGTGCGCCGTGTGTTTGAGCGCGCTCACCGGGACCTGTTACTGCAGGGACCGTCTGCTGTACTGCAAGCACGACTATGAGAAGTAAGAGTACACACACACACACACACACACACACGCACACACACGTTAGGTTCTCTTCTGTGGTTTGGAATATGTGGTGCAACGGTGGAATCCTTTAGTGGAACAACATGGTTATCTACCCCACATGTAAAATAGTTTTGGTCCAGATTTGTCCCACACTGCCTCACTGCATGTCATCCGGCCCACACATCTCTCCAGACCTGGGCCACAACTGAAGCCATAGCAATGCTGCATTTCAACCTAAGGTGCCAAAGGTGCCACTTGAGTTTCACATCCAGATTACAACTGGTCCAGAGCCCTGCATGTTCGCTGGAAAACGTCCCACACTTATTTTGGGATCATTTGGGCCACATTTCCTATATAACAAGTGGGCTGCACTTAAGGCTCACGTCTGCTTGCCGTTTGGGGACAGGTTGAGAGAAATGTTCTGGTTATTTAAAACACATCTCCTCATCATTAAGCTGAGACCAGGCTGCTAATTCATTTTGGGGATGGAATTATTCTTTCACCCCAAATTCCAATTTTCTCAACAATGTTGAATCTGCAAAGAAACCAGTGACTGCTAAACTAAAGATTGTGTCACAATTATACAAATGCTCAAGCAAAGATCCAGTATCTCACAAGTTTGTGTATTCAGTTCAAGAGAGAGTGACTTCTGCCCTGGAACCACACTCTCATCCAATCAAAGACAGTGATGTCACTCCACCAGTGATGTCACTCCACCTCCTGGAAGCTAAATTCCCACGAAGACTAAATTATGTTTTTCAAGTTTCCGAATTTGCCCCGTAAAGTTTGAATGACATTGATGTGATCACTGTTTACACAGTTGTATGCAAATGAGGTCAGTTTGTGTTTGTAACACAAACAAATCGAACCCACGTATTCCTTCAAATAGATTTTCCTTTATTGGTCAAGTAAAACATGAATTCAAAAAAGTTTCTGGAGAACTGACAAAATAGTGGTTTTCTTATGATAGTCTGAAAGTGAGTTTGTCTGTGTGAGGAACCACTGAGCACACTGCTAAATGAATAAATACATAAACAAGCATGAATCTGGAACAAAAAATGAAAGAAAAGAAAGAAAGACTTCCCAAAATGATCATCCAACTGTTGCTGAGCAAATAAATAACTTTGTTGAGACCGGTGGAGTATTTTCATTGTCACCCTAAGATCACAATTGTGATTAAAGGGATTCAGACTAAACACAACAGTGCCGTCACGGCGATGCTTTGATTTCAAACTGCTTCAGATTGGAAATTCATGTCTGACACCACAAGTAGCTATGATGTCTTCAGGGTCCCCAAAGTGTGAAAGTGACAAGTGTGACTATGATGAATGGAGATTTTAGAATTCTTAAATTTCAAAACATCAAAATGAACTGTCAACATTTGAGTGTAAGTGAGATGCAGAATTAAAATGAAGTTGTATGATGATGATATAGAATATAGTGATGTCAGACAGAGTGTAAAATCATC